TTTATGTGCCCCACTAATATGGGAAACCAGCAATAAGAGTAAATATATGAGTGGGAACTGAAGCCTCAGCAGCAGGTGTGATGTATAAATACACTCATCTTGTCATCTCTGTTTAACTTTACCTTTCGTTCTTTGTAGCTCTGTGGCCTTTGTGTGTGATTATTGATGCCTCCTGTGGTTTTCCTGTGAACCAGCTCTGCAAAATGACAAATGAACTTGTAGTAGTAGTAGTCTGTAGTCAACATTGGATAGTTGCCGTTTTCAGCTTCATCATGGCTGAATGCCTGTGAATTCCTTGATCTCCAATTTGAACCTCTGTTGATTTTGGTATTTCTAATAGCATACAAATAAATACAGATTCACATTTAAAAACCAAATATAGGTCATTCATTTTTCATGGCTGTTGATTTTCTGTTGTGTGTTGTTACAGCGAGTGTTGATTCTCTGTGTCTTTGTTAGTGCATTGAGAAACTGCAGTGTGGAGATTAGCTCAAGAACAGTTCATAGAGAGATTCATGTAATGGGTTTCCATGACATAGCTGCATCTTACATCACCAACCACGATGAAAGACGTTGGATGCAGTGGTGTAACACCACTTACACCACTACTGGACTCTAGAGCAGTGGAGACATGTTCTCTGGAGCGAATGAGTTTGGGTTTGGCAGTTGCAAGAAGAATGATACTTGTCTGATTCCAATGTTACACATCAGCAACAACATCAGTGTCTGACCTCACAAATGCACTTCAGTAAGAATGTTCAAAAACTCTCATAAAACACTCTTAGACTTTGTGGAAAGCTTTCCCAGAAGAGTTGAAGCCATTTAATCTGCAAAGGTTGAGCAAACATCATATTAAAGTATGTGGATATGTACTTAAGTAAGTAAGCTGGAAATTTTACTACTTAGTTTGCGCCCTCCCCATGGACTGAAGTCGAGTCTACGATAGCACAATGTCTACAGTGACTGTAGATGGACGGTTACGTCTTTTCATTGGCCCAGAGTGTACGGTGACCGTAGACTTACTGACCTTCTTTGAATCAGTGTCACAATAGTCCCAAGGGCACTGACAAAACATACAATTATAAATAAATAAATAAAGTATATAGAAAGAGAAGCATGTTTGACATGTTTTTATTAAGTCACACACAAATAGCATTCTCTGCCAAAAGGCTCAGAAGACATAACTATACAGAAATACATAACAGACCAGAACCGAAGAAGCAACATGTACAAGCAGGTGACAAAGACAGTTTTGTGAAGTATTTGTACAACACATGCCTCTGCAACAGCTTCAGTGTTTCCTGGAATTGATTCCGAAACACTAACAGAGCTATTATCTATCTGTTATGACAGCCAAATTTCCCCCAGATAGTCTTGGTTGAGTTCTGGTGACTGTGAAAGCCACGGTATATGAACACATCATTTTCAGAATCAACTTTTCAGTGAACCCTCTTCAGATACTTAGTCACTGGACAAAGTTAATCTCTCATAGCAACTTTGTACTGATTTTCCACTATTTTCCCTTTGACAAGTGGACCCTAACATGGCACAGTGCAAAAATGTCGCTCTGTGTAGGGGGTTAAGAGTTCAGGGTAGGCCTTTAATTTCTTGCCTTTCTGAAAATTTTATCAGTATAAAAGTAAAACAATTACATGGTCTCATCGGTGCAACCTATAAGACGCCTCTTATGGCTAGTCTTTGCACATCATAAGAGCACAGAGGAAAAGAAAGCAATTCATTCTCCATTTCTGTTAATTTTAGGGTATTTTCCAATCGGTTATGGTTCAAAAGAGCCAAAGGAAAATCCTCATCAATGTAGGAGTAAAGACTAGATGCTTTTATTGTATATACACTGATAATGCTTAATGTGGAGTCATTCTAAACCAGTAAAAATAAATAAATAACACATTGGGGTCATGCTGAAGACAACAGGTGGAGCTGGAAACATTGCCTGATAAAGAAAAAAAGACAATAGACTGAATGAAAAACAGAAGTCTCCTTCGTTGCACATTTTGGCCAATCAGAAACCTCCTTTGTTCATTTGAGACTTTTGACCAATCATAAACCCTTTCTTTCCCCAATTACCGATCAGGTGACCGATCAGGTGACCATACATTATTGCACTACTGTATGGTCCATCCCTGTCCATTTTTCGGACCATAAGGCACACTGGATTATAAGGCGTACTGTCGATGAACAGGTCTGTTCACATCAGATTATAAGGGGCATTAAGCAAAAAAACAAACAGTCAAATAAGTCAAACTTTACTCAACTCATTCTTCTTGCTTCCTCCACTTCCGTACCATTGATTCATTAATGTTGAATTCTCTCACAGCTGCTCTATTCCCATGTTCTACTGCGTGACTGATAGCCTTGAGTTTGAAATTCTCTTCGTAAGCATGTGTTATGGAAATTTTAACAATAATCTGCAACACACCCAATGCACTCAATTTGAAGTGGTTTAATTAACACGTTGCAATGTGGAGAAAATATTCACATCAAGCACCAAACAGTTTTCTGAGGATGGACACCACCCTGAACTCGTTTATACCTTCCCAGAACACTCTCAAACAAAGAACATTCCACAGCCTCTTATATTTCTCTATACCTTCAGTCCCATCCTTAAAACCTCCTCCCTCACAGAGAGAATTATGGCCTTGTTTTCTGCTGTCACCTAAGGATTTACATCCCTGATAAGCAGTCTCCCATTACAATGGTCTCACTGTGTGTGTAGAGCATAAGGCCCACTTGTAGTGCACATGCATACAACTAAGTGACAGGAGTGCTCTTGCTATACTAAAGTGATAGGATTAAAATATGTGATTAATACATAATAAAAGAAATCTGCCACCACACATATTTCTTAACAGGTGCCATTTGGGGGTCCTTATACACACACAATACGGTAATATAATGTTGACGCACAGTATGTATTACTCCATGAGACTCCTGACTACGGTAGTCGTAATGCTCCAACAATCCATCAAGCGGTGCGGCTTCGTAGCTTACCAAAGTAGTGCTAAAACATTTTTTGACAGATTTTTGAGTGCCGTGTACCACATAAAATAGGTTTGAGGTCAGTAAGAACAACCAGAATTCATACATAAAGCACACTGGATTATAAGGTGCAATTTTTTTTTTGAGAAAAAAGGATAAAAGGATTTTAAGTGCATATATAGTCCGAAAAATACAGTATATGACCTTTAACATATGAACTATATATTCTTAACCCCTGTATTTATTTTAATGCTTTGAGTTTGCTTTTGAACATCTGTGGAGAAACTTTATATGTTGGAAGTTAGATTTTAACAAGCATGCAATGATTATCATATTTTTAAACATGTATCTGACAGAGGCAATACCATACATTCAGACACGGTAGTAGATGGTGTAGATGGTGGTTTTTATACGATATGTGCTAGTCTAATTTGGTAGTACGAGGTCAACATTGACCTTCTCTGTTGTTAGATATAACAGTTGAAGAGCCATTAAGGATCAAATCAGCTTCTAAATAATTTTATGGTTTTTCTCCCTCTGCTTGCTTCTTTTTGGGTCGGGACCAGCACCCCCCACATTACATCAAAGTCTTACAAGTCTAGAAAAGGAGCTGTTGAACAGAAAGACATCAACTGAGTTGTAAGTATTTTGGTTTTTCTAGTATATTAGTAATTGTCAGTGACATTTATATTAGTCATGCTGAACTTTAATCATACTTTAGATCAACCTGTTTTACTTATTGTTTCATTTGTGCTTTGGTTTGGGGAAGTTGTTTCTATACTGATCTTTTCCTGTCTTCTGTTATTAGACTTGAGGTATCACTGCACTTTGCTGTTGCTGTTGACTCCAGTTAATTCTACAAGACATGCTGTGTAAGTAAATACAAACAACAACAGTTTGGTCTGCATTTCTTCAAAGATCATATTGTGGCTTGCAGGCCACCAGGAGAGATGAGTCCTCCGTCACAGTTGGTGTAATCAGTAAAGATGGTCACCTGCAGGGTTAAGCTCATTGGATCTCCATCCCACATCCACTGCCACTGTACTTAAGGGAAGATGGGACAATGTTAAAGACTTTCTTCTGAACTTTCATTTAGATCACCTAAATCCAGATGTGACTCAGTCACTTAGTTGTATGCATGTGACAAACACAGACATTCAGGCAGCAATGCCTGGACTGGAAACAAATAGTCTTTAAAATATTACAACATACCAGCTTCTGTGTTTGAATGCAAAACAAAAGTGTTATTTAAACTAGAGACTGCACTTGTGACTGAACAATAAATACATTTTATTTTGATTAAAGTAATGTAACTTGCAAAACAAAATTGTGGAAAGCTTAAACATAGTTTTAGAAATAATTACATCTTTGACTTTGTTCCATTGTAAGATTATAACAGTGATGGCAATATAGTTTTTGTTGTTCAGTGAAACAGTGTCCAGTATGTTGGCTGATGTACTTTTTGGCATTTGAAAATAAAAGTTGGGCTGATTTTAACGCCCTTAAAACAAGTGTTGTAAGCTATTCTTTTTTTAATCATACTTGCATACAGTGTTATATTAATATAAGTGCTTTAATAGAAATTTCAAAGATGATAAAACATTAGGTGAAGTTAGTACTGCACAGTCAGAAACATCAAGCTATTCTTAGTACTGTATACTTAGAATGAATAAGTTGTCCTAACATAGTCATCTTAAGTAAGCTTTACTTAGTTGAGGCAACGAGTTTGCATAGTTTTTTTAAGTTCTGGGAACTAATGAGGTTGTACCGTGTAAAAGATGTAACAGCAAAGCAAGAGAAATATAAACTGTTTATATTTCAACACTGGGGCAGTGCTTATCTAAATATATCATAGTTACATGGGCCGAGGGTTTTAAAAAAAATGTGTTACTGTGGCTGGTTAGTACGGTTTACTTCTGCCTTTCCTGGAAGAAAGTTATGTCATGTAATGTTGGTGAACGTCAGATTAGTGTTAGTTTGCTCTGCAGGTCGTTCATGCTATCATGGCTAGAGTCCTGCTGCTCGTTATCCTTCTCTGTAAGTTAAACTTCCTGTGAAATTCTTTTATTTTCATTTTTTCTGCTCTTACATTTGGTGTGTTCAGTTTATATTTTTGTTAGGTGTTGCTATTATTATGCTTCGTACATACTACACATTATTAATGCATACTTATGTTTAATACATAATAAGATTGATTCAAGATTCATATCATTATACATGTTTTCTTCAACTTCATCAGATTATTTTCATGGAATTAAAGCACAAGGTTAGTGTAATAAATTTAATTATACACACACACACAGACGCACACACATATGTTAATCAGTGTAGCTGTTTGCTTTGTTACTTTGAAACGTCTCCACAATAGCTCATCATGAAATATTTACATCTGAAATTGCAGCCAGTGTTCCACCTATACTGAGCGTGAGTCCACCTGCAATCACAGAGACAGACTCAGTCACACTGAGCTGTCAGACTCCATCATCT